CCATCTCCACATCCAACCATTAGATCCTCACAAACTACCATCATTCTTCTCATCTCATAATCCTCTACACATTTCTATCATTTGATCTTCCATCCAAAGTATCAATCTCTACTTAAAGTCATGGAACATTTCAGTCAACTCAAGAACTTGAAAAAGACTTTCATGGAGCTTGAAGTCTAAGGCATTCTTAGTTTTTAAAGGGAGAATGATGGAGGGGGAGCCACGGTTCTACACTTACATCTTTAACTAATGATTAATTTGACATAACTCTTCCATTGTATTTCACTTTGTAATTCTAGATTTGATTTACATTGTGGTTAGTTAAGGATTTAGTTATTTTTATATATAAGTAGTTTACAAGTACCTAAATAATATGTTAATTATGTGGTATCAATGTCAAAAAAGAGTTATATTATTTTGTTGCGCATAGAACGATTGTTTCTTTTTTTGAGCTCACATCAAATATTTTTTTATTTAAATGGTGATTTAAATATCTTTTATATAAAGTAATTGTTGGGTAACTCATTTCGAAATTCAAATTATAGAGTTGAATTTTTATCATTTGTGAAAATTAAATTTATAATTTTATTATAAATTCCCCATTTATATTTTTATTGCAAGTCCAACATTTATAAGAAAAAAGTAGATGAATTAAAACATAATTTTAAAACTATAATTGACTATAATTGTCTGCAATATTCAATGCTAGCAACTTCAATATTTTAAAATAAAATTTTAAATTTTTTAATAATAGTTGGATCACTATAGAACTATAGTGATTTATCTTAAATTTGAATTCACTAAATGACTTAAATCTACTTATTCAATGGGTATATCAATTATATCATTGAATAATATTAATACTTAAAAATTATCAATATTTATTTCCTTATAAAAATTTAAAATAACTCTCATGATAGAAAGACGCCTTACATTTATTGTCCTCTTTAAAAATTTAAGATTTGGTGAGTTCTTAGTATTTTATGACAAAATATCTTATAACAATCTAATTAAATTGAATAATTTTTATTGTGCCATATGTAACACTCATTAAGTGATAAGATTTCTTTCAATTACAAAATCCAAATCCGATGCATCTCATAAAATCACTATAGTTCTATCGTAATCCATTGACAAATTATACTATATATTTTACTCATTTTTAAATATAAACAAAATTTTCATATGGTTTATTGTTATTTTTTTACAAGAAAAACAAAAATTTTCAAAAACTATTTACCACATCTTTCCTTAATTACTCTTCATTAAATTAGGAAAAAGTAATATGTCAATCACAACTACATCTTAATTCAAACTTTTTAATTTTAGACATAATTATTAGGGCTAACTAATTTTTTTAAAATGTGTGAATTGATTAAAATTTACTCATATAAAAGCAAACAAAAATGAGTTGATTGATTTAAATAATACAATATTCTATTTTATAATTTATTATTTAAATTTATATGTTATATACAATTAATTATCTTATACATATACAAAATATAAACAACAAATGATAAATCTCTTACCATAACAAAAAATTATTAAATCTCATACATAATATTTTTATTATGAGTTTTACATCTATATGTATTTTTACTATGGATCCCACAGTTATTTTTTTAAATTTTTTTGTAGGTCCCACATGAACTGTTATACAAGTTAAATTTAAAAAAATAATGATACTGTTCATCCAATTGTAGATGAACAATGCCATATGTTGCACTTTACTATATATATAAATATAGATTTAGTAAATATTACTAAAATTAATTGTCAAATTAATGAATATTTAAAATTAAAGTATCACTTGTTTTAAATTATTATTTTTATATAATACAATATTTTTTTAATTTTAATATTTAAAAAATGAGTTACAAATTTAACAAGATAATATTAATTTCATCCATTTATTTATAGGTTCATTCATCATTTTTAATAAAAATTTGTAAAATATAAAAATATTAAATTTGGGTGATATAATATTTTAAAAAAATACCATTAATTAATTAAAAAAATTGTAAAGAATGATTTAAAATATTTAAAAAACTTAATCATTATTCATTTTCTAATAAAATTAATTTCTATAATTTATTTTAAAATATTATTTTATCATTATTATTACTTACAAATTTTTATACCCAATATAAATCATTTATACATTTTTAAAATATTAGTGTGAGCTATTAATATTTAAAAATAGTTTATAAATTTTTATAAAATTAAATGGCAGTATAAACGCAATAGCCCAGAACCTCCCTCCCAAAAAAAAAAAAAAAAAAAATCTCCCTCCGTCTCTCCCCACTCATACTCCGCTCGGCTGCCCCTTTTGAAAAAGTAATGGGGATAATATGCAGAAGAAGTTGGGTGAAGCCGGAGAAGAACAAGCAGAAGCATTATTACTGTTCAAGAATAATAGATAACTAAGCCAAGATTCTGAAAGTGCGCAACATTCAGAAAACGCTAGCTCGATTCAAAGAGTACAGAGAGAGCGTGAAGATAAGAGCCAGCAAGCTCTAGAAGAAGCACCCTCGCTGCCTTGTCGACAGCAATGAGCTTCTTCGCTTCTACGCCACCTCCCTCTCGTGCTCTCTCGGCTTCAACACCAACAACCTCTGCTTTTCTGAGAGTGGCTGCATTTGCAAAATCATCAGAAACGGCTTTTACGTGAAGGAGAAGGTGAACATTAATGGCGGCAGGATTCGGATGTTCACTGCGTCGACTAGCGGAAGAGTGCTGGAGAATGTGAAGGAGATAATTGGGCTTCAGAGTGGGTTTGGTTCATTGGCTGGCAAACTTGGGGTTTGTTCCAACATTGAGGAGCTTTATTTGCCAAATCTTTCTTCTGTTCTTCCTTGCTTTTGTTGCCATTTGTAAACCTTGATGTACAGACTGGTTTCTTCGAGATATTTAGAATGTTGGTGTGAGTGTTATGTATTATATTAAATCTACGCAACGGTGTCGGCGACTTCGCTCTAGATCTGCAACTTTTCAGATCGGTGAGAGGAGGAAAGGGGGAAGGGAGAGAGATTTTAGGCTCTCGTGCTTGCTCAATTTTTATAAATATTTATAAATAATACTAATATTTATTAAATTTTAATAAAATTTTTGGATGTTTAAGGTTATTAAAAAAAGAGTTTAGGAACAAATAATGTCAAAAGACATGTCACATTAACAAAAAATTTAGAGTTAACTGATCGGTGATCACTAATGAAAGAGAATTTTTACTTTTTTAAAAAATAATTTAAAAAAAAATACTTTACTTATTAGTACAAATTAGTGTGTAACTCGTGTGATGCATGGGGTGTGAAACTATTAGGCGTGATTAGCTTGTAATGTTATATTGAATAATTAACTTGTAGATCAATGTGATTTTTATAAATTATTACATGATATATAAGTAAAAGAATGTACATTTTTTGTATAAAAATAATGTCATTTCTTTTTATTTCAGAGTGACTGAATTATTATTATAAATACATTTATTTTGATTTACTATAAATCTATTAACGATAATTATTTATGTCAACATCATTATCATGTATTATATATTATATCAATAATAAAAATTTGAAATAATTTTTAAGTTCTTTTTAATATTGCAAATTAGAAGTCAAATACTGTTATTGAATAAGAAATTCATATGTAAATATTAAAAAGATAATCAATACATATAACATATTTGTGATGAAATTGTCATGAGAATTTTAAAGAAATTATTGAACACCATTAAAAACTTATTTGTAAACAATAATTAAAGTCTCGTTTGTAGGATGACCTTCTTCATTTAAGATCAAGATCTTTAACCCTTCTTTGCTACGAACACATGAGCTAGCCACATAAAGTTGTCTATGAGTGAAAATAGAACGTGGCAAGTATAATCCAATGCTATTAAGAATTTGTTCTTGACTTTTGTTGATAATCATTGCCAAATATAGTATTATCAAGAATTGTCTTCAACATAAAGTAAATGACAACCTTTTGTTTGATGGAGTAATAATGGCTTGAGGAATTAAGACTTTTGTTAGAATTTCAGCTTCTATCGCTTGCTTTACAAGTTTTATCACAATCAACCGTGTCTCATTACAAAGACCAATTGACTTGTCAATGTTTCTTATAAACATAATAGGCATCCAACTTTTAATTTGATCTCGTGATTTGAAAGTCCAAACATGATAATTGAATGTAAGAATTCAGTGAAATAAACACCTTCAATTGAATTTGTTGTACTATCTTAATTAGAAATTGAATTGCACTTAAGTAAGTAACTTCATCTCTTAATAGCATAAATGACGTATAATCATTCACCTCATAAATTATGGATAATGCAGGAGTTAAAACTGCACGATCTTTGAAATATGTTATATTATATAAATTGTCCAAAAGAATTAAGAAATGTTGATTCAATAATACATTTTAAAAGATCTTCAATACAAATGTACCCATCACTCTTTGAGAAAAAGTATAGGAAAAAAAATACACTTTAACCTTTTATTTTATTAACCTTCAAGGATTAGAAAATAAAATGGATCAAACTATAAGATTAAATAAGAATAAAATAAATTATAGGAACGTAATTTAAGATTTAACAAAATAATTCTATAAGAACTTCCAAGTATACCTTCTTATAAGTTATAAATTGTCTTCCTGGTCAAAAAAGTTACAAGTTGTCGTATAAAATATGAAGCAATATTTCATAGTATTGCTAAAACTTGAGAAAACATACCTCTCATGTTTGATTGGCTTCAATTTTTATAATAACATAATATAATACTTATATCCTTTACTTAACATGGTTATTAACTAAAAATTGATTATAAAAAAAGATATTAACTAAAAATTGAAAAGGTTTTTTTTTTTAAATGACGTAATAATTTTTTTAATTTGTACATGTACCTAAATAACACGGCAGGGGTCCGAGTGAATGTCAAGGTCACAATGGGATCAAGATTCAAGGTCCTCATAGAAAATAGAAGTAATGAATTAAATTAGACACGGAAATAACGCATTGTCCGCTAGCGTGTGGAGCGGCTAGAGACAAAAAGGAAGCGAATACAACGGAAGTTGTGAGCATCATAATCTGAAGCAGAGAAGCTGAAAAGAGAGAATCGTATCGTAGTGATTCCAATTTCTATGGCAGACGCTGTTCCTAACGATACCAACCACAACACTCTCCATTGCAGCTCCAATCAGCCTGTAGCTTCTCCTCCTCAAGATCGTCCTGTTCGGGTCTATGCCGATGGGATCTACGATCTCTTCCACTTCGGCCACGCTCGCTCTCTTGAGCAAGCCAAGAAATCGTATGCCTATCCTCATTCTTATCAATTCACGACTTTGGTCTTGATGATGCTTTTTTACCGTTCCTTTTGGGTGTATTATTATTTATATGTATCGAAGGTTATATAGTTAGTTTTGAGAATTATGCCATATGTTTTGTAATTTCAACATTAATTTAATTCCTGATTTATGTCCTGACAGTTAAATTGAAATCCTTGATGTTGTAAACCGAATGTGAAGCTCTGATTTGTTCAATCCTTTTTTTTTCCCCGTTACTTTCTGATGCAATTGCAGTCTAGATAGTTGATGATTCATGTGCATTTCTTTGTCGTTTTTTTTAATCTTCTTGTGTATTTTTAGTTTCATGGGCTATCCTAAAAGTTCTTTTATTTCCATATTTGTCTGGAAATCTTAGATTTCCAAATACCTACTTGCTCGTTGGAGTTTGCGGTGATGAAGTCACTCACAAATTCAAAGGAAAAACTGTTATGACAGAGGCCGAACGATATGAATCCCTGCGGCACTGCAAGTACGATATTTTCTGCTTTTGTCTTATTTTCTCTATGGTGTTGGATTTAGCATTTTTATAAGTGAATATTTGAACGAAATTCTCTTTCGAAAATGTGCTTGCCAATGTTATTGTATTATGCTTTCATTTTTTTTTATTTGTTGTTCTTGGTGCATAAAAAGAAGTGTGATTCTTAGTTAGTAAATTGAGGAAATTAATGATAGATATTGAGAGCAGGTGGGTGGACGAAGTCATTCCTGATGCACCTTGGGTTATCACGCAGGAGTTTCTTGACAAGCACAATATTGACTATGTGGCTCATGACTCTCTTCCGTAAGAATAATTTCCATAACATTTCTCTCAACATGTGCATCTAGTTCTTTAGCTCCATCGAGTTTATAATGCATTCATGATTTTTAAACTTCCTATGTATATACTAATTTTAACTTGTGTTGGAGCATTTTATCTTCATCAATGTTAACTTTTTGCACCTGCAAATGAATTTCAACAGTTATGCTGATGCAAGTGGGGCTGGGAATGATGTTTATGAATTTGTATGTAGAAATTATTTACTTTCTTTATTCCATTTTGTTTTATTGTCATGTTGTCCTGTCAAATGAGTTATGCGATGAAATTTTTATGTAGGTTAAAGCCGTTGGCAAATTCAAGGAAACTAAGAGGACTGAAGGAATATCTACATCAGACATTATAATGAGGATTGTTAAAGATTACAACCAATATGTTCTACGGAACTTGGATCGTGGGTACTCGAGGAAAGAACTTGGTGTTAGCTATGTGAAGGCATGACTTTGACATTTCCCCCCATTATTATAACGTAAATTGAAATAGGATATCTCATAAACTGAATTGTTTCTTTCTTACTGAAATTTATCTTATCTTCCCTATCTGGGGGGACTCATCTCCTGTTATTTAAAAACAGGAAAAACGACTAAGGGTGAATAGGAGGTTGAAAACTTTACAGGAGAAAGTGAAAGAACATCAAGAGAAAGTTGGTGAAAAGGTATCACTACTGTTACACCATTTATTCCAATTTAACTAGTTTGAACTTTGAATTAATACTTACAGCACAGGCAAGTTATTGTGAATTACAAGGATGAGTTAATCAAGGATAATTAAAAAAACGCACACAAATTTTAATGTGATAGAAAGTGGAAAGTTGAGAATGCTTGTGATAGTAGTTTGAGGAGTTTCATTGCAGGAACAAATAATGACTCAAAATTTTGTATGATGGGATAGTGGACTTTTGTCCCTGTTTTTTTGTTTTTAAACCTGTGTTTGTAATGGCATTATGCTTCTTGTTGCTTGCTGTTGTAACTGTAATGAACACCATGAAGCTTGCTGTTCAAAACTCGTGGGGAATTTTGAAGTTTCTTCATGATTTGAGAGATCAGATGCTGAATATTCATAGAATGGTTTAGTTAGAGGTTTCTGTTTTGTTTGCTTTTCCCCCTGTGTGGGATTTGGGGTGGTTTCCACAGCCTAAGCTTAGTTGCAAGTGAAAATTTGCTCCTATTAGCCCCTAACTGTAGTGGTTGGATGCTTTTACAACCATGATGATCCTGATACTGCTTAGTTGCTTACTGCTTTACTGTAACCTTTTCATTTGCAGCAACGGTTCTGTTCCAATCATAGTGTATCTTCTGCACAATATTGCTTCGAGTTGTTGGTCTTTTTCTGATTAATTTGTTTTCTATATATTCCTCTTCATAACAATTTTGAATTAGGATAATGCAGTACAACATATGACTCCTAGAAGATAATAAGTGACATGATTCATGTTCTTAATTATACATTAACTGTTAAATGAGACGTGATCCTGCAAAGTTTGTGTTTGGTATTTACTGTAAGAAAAAAGTTATCCATGTAGTCAATGTCAAAACATTATTTGACCAAAATTTATGCCATAATAGTAGTATTTTGCCATTATTTTTTTTCATGTATCTATCCTTACCACTGTAATTTGTGAACTGGCTTCAAGAACCCATTGTTTTTATTAATTGGACAATCCAGTCCTGGTTTGACACTTGAAAGAATTGATGTTCATGCTGCAATAGAGTGGTCTCATTTAAAGCTTCCAAATCCACCCTTTATTCATCATTTATGGCAAAAACGGATGCCAGATTCAAACCTGGTAGCCTAAGTTGACTAGCTCAATTTAGCACCTTAGTTTGCTAGTTATATGCTATGCTTCCAATTTTTTAGTATATTTGTAAAATAATTCATTATTTATTTTTAATGATAACAAGATTGTCTTAATTTTCTTGCAACAATCTATATAAAACTTGATAAGGAAATTTTATATGCCAAATAATTTTATTTTTAACATATGCACAAGGAAAGCATTCTCACAAATGTTCAGGCCAAACTCTTTCACCAGTTGTAAAAACATTGGTTTTGATATTTTGTGTGTCTAATGGTTAAAATTATGTAACTTCTGTATGAAATACTCCCTCCAATCCTTATTATAAGGACATGCATGTTTCTTAATAAAACTTGTTTTGTCTATAGCATTAATTTTTTCCACTTAATAGTACCCTTAATCAACTATAAACCTACCTAAATGATTAAACAAACTCCTCTAACTAATGACTTTTATTGAGGGTAATTTTAAAATTTTACTAGAAATAACTAATTTTAAATAACTTCCTTAATTTAGGTAAAGTTGCTAAGAGATGCTTATACAAAGGACTAGAGGGACTATATCTTAAGAGAAATGTATTCCTACTAAATGATCTATTTATATATATATATATATATATATTTATACTTCCTATTGTAGATTTATTTCTCCTTTTGCATATTTTCCCCCATTTCAATAGTTTTCGTTACTCCCATTATTATTGTGGATTTAAGGGCGTTCCATCAGAATAAGTGGATAATAGTTTTCATGAATGGTTAATTAGTAAGGTAATCATAGTTTTTAGATATTTCCACACATTATGGACCGACCTTATGAGGGTAATTTAGGGATTGTTCATTTTGCTCTGCAATATTTTTGTGGAAAATGAAGTTTCACGTGAAGTCTTGGGAATCCATTCCATTTGGTTTCTCAAGTAAGTAGAATCCTTTCTTTAAAAATTTCTTTAAAAAGATGTTAAAAATCACGGTATGGACATGGACAATCACACCTGAAATTCTAGCTCATGGGGGTTGGAGAGCTGTAGGTTCCTTGAAACCCTGTGCATTCGAATCCCATACTCCCAAGTTGGGACTGAAATTTGTTCCCTTGGAGTTTGGCCTTGGCATTTTTCTGCAATACCAGTAACACTGCTTATATGCTGCATGATTGCAAATGGGATGCAGTGAAAGGCTTCAATACCAATTGATATAAAGCTCTGCGAGAACCACCATTTGACAAGTAGCTCATAAGGCTGGAGAACCCAAGGTCTCTATCTTCCCCATGTCAATATCTCATAATTTTGATATCAGCCTCAAGTCTCGTAATTGTACAATTGGATCTTAACAGATAAATTTTATGCTGTTTGTGAAAATGACTTGAATAATTGTTGAGCATCTTAACCAAGTTTTCAGTACTATAGGTATTACTGTTATCAAGGTAAATAGTTGTCCACTGAGTTTTCTATCTGGGACACTTCTGTCAACTACCATACATTTTGGCTGTCATAGCATCATCTATAGAGTTGAATCACTTGCCTCTTGGGGATTTTCTCTAGTTTAACTCGGTTAGAACTAAGTTTGTATCATTAGTTTTCTTAAATATCTAGCAATGGTGTGAATTGATTGAAGATTGATGATAAACTAGGATTGCGACATCTACTATACCTATCTATTTTCATAGAAGTTCTAAGTGTTTTTCATTCGTCTTATTGATATCTAGCAATGGTTTGTATTAATTGAAGATTGATGATGATCTAGGATTGTGACATCTGCAATACTTGTATATTTTCTTAGAAGTTGATGATGGTCTTAGTTGTCTTGGAACTCCTTCATAAAATCACCTATGCTATTTCTGATGTGTGCTCAGTGCACACCTACATTATATCGTTGAGTGATCTATATAATCACAATAAGCTTTATCTTATTAGATAGAGTTGGCTACACGGATTGCATGGCGCTATTGTACTCTATCAACAACTAAGCTTTCAAAAATATTGTTAACTAAGAGGCTTCATTCAACAATTTCCATAAATTTTCTCTTTAGTCTTTTTCTATCCTTCTTTTCAAGACTCAAGATTATCCATTCTTTTTCAAGGCTTTCAAGTACTTCTCTCGGTACACTTCTATCATGAGATTAAAAAGAGAGTAGATAACTAATTGGAAGTTAAATCTGAAACAAAAAGTGAAGAGAGATGATATATATGAAAAGGAATTATTAATTAGATTTACATAGTATAAATGTTTTTATTGTCTTAATGTGAGATTTTATGATAATTTTAGAGACATTTTAACCATTACAGTTAAAACAACGTATGGCTACAATTGGTCAAATATGATTACTCTGACAGTGGGGTCAATAGATTTCCCTTTTAACTTGCACAGATGCACTTTTTTTTTTTTTTGTGGGGGGGGGGGGGCGAAGCAAAACCCTGGTTTTGTCAATCTCATTTATTTTAACGTAACAGTAAAAAAAGGTGACAGTTTTTCCAAAGTCTAGAGGCTTCTCAGTTGTTTCTTAATAGCCTAGAGGCCTCTCTTCTCTTATGCCTCATACTCCTCTGAAACATGTGATAGACAACTCAATTTGCCTTTGGCATCCGAATGGGTAAGCCTTAGCTCTAGCCTCTAGAGCCTGCTAGGCGCATCTTGTGCATGACCCACTGAATTTCGGTCTCACAGGGACATTTCCCTCACGTGAAGGGAAGAAGAACTGTTACTTCTCAAATGCGTGATATTCTTACAAAAGCTCTTAATGGAGCACGAACTGAATATGTTTGTAACAAGTTGGGCATGATTAACATCTATATTCCAACTTGAGGATTGTTAAAGTAGTGTAGCAGAAGTCATTTATTGTATCCATTGTAGGTTATGTAGAGTGTGCTATTAGAGTTGTATAGGGACAAAGCAGATAAAAGCATCTTCTATGATAGGTTGTATAGGGTAGGCTCTATCGGTAGCCTCTTAATCTCTTTGATAGTCTTCCTTGTATATATTCCCACTATTCAGATGAAATAAACACCAACTTGAGTTTTATTTAGCTTCAGATATTTTGAAGATATGATAGAGTCACCAGCTTAATAAGAAGTGAAATTTACATTGAGGTGGAGAATAAGCTTCCCACAATGGAGAATTGGTTAAAAGGCAGCAGCAATAATAAATTGTCGTGCATTGCTCTTATTTTGAAAGATGATAACCCAGTTAAAGTTTCTGCTTTTGCATGGCTTTGATGATGATAAAGACAGGGAATCAGTCATAGAGATGATATTTCCTGACATTATCATATTGTTTTGGTGATGTGGACATCACATATTTCCCGTCTTAAACATCGGAATACTTTATGGTAGCTCGCAGTTGGTTTTCTGGATGTGATAGATATACGTTCCTTTTTCAACTTCTAGATTCAAATTGTTGCGAAGACTGCCGGCATGCATCGGAATGAATGGGTGGAAAATGCTGATCGTTGGGTTGCTGGATTTTTGGAGATGTTTGAAGAAGGTTGCCATAAGATGGTGAGTTGGTTCATGCGATAGAAGTATTTGAATCTTGATATGCAGACACACTGACAACACCCATTAACTTAGCTTTGGGGTCTATTTCAGGGAACAGCTATCAGGGATAGAATTCAAGAGAGTTTAAGAGGTCAGCAGTCCAGAGGCTTCCCGTATCGTCTACAGAATGGTGAGGATGGTAAGGATGACGACGACGACGAGTATTATTATGACGATGACGATGGTAGTGAAGAGGAATATTTTGAAGAATATTATGATGATGAAGAGCTCAATCCTCAGAGTAATGAGAAAGATGTGAAGAAGTAGTAGCTACACTTGAACTGAGTTGCTGGATCCTGGTCCTGAAAGTTGAAATTTAAAATTCAAGCTAGGCATATAGTTTGTGGATAATTGAACAGTCAGTATGGTAAAATCAAAATTTTCGACGTGTTGAATTTTGGCGCACGATGCGGTGTTGTTCTTTGCATGTTTGGCCATCAGCACTTGTCTTGAACGTGGTGCTTGCTTGTGATTGTGATTATGGCTGCAAAGTATTGCAAATATTAGATGGTGAGTGTACTATCTCTGTTTCGTTAGTATTGTAGTTAAAACTAGTTTTACTAGATGCCTGGGAATATTATAATTAATAAATTAACAGCTTATTAATTTGTGAAAAAATTTAATTTTTTTATAAAATTTATATAAAAGGAAGATTTAAAAGATAATGAAACAAAAATTATCTTCATAAAATAACAAAAAACTTGTTCAGGGTATTAGCATAGCAATGACCATGTACACATTAACCCATAATATTTTTTGTGGATGCAATTAAGACTTATGAATTAAATATGCTTAAATACCCCTCAAAAAAAGAAGAAGAAGAAGAAGCGTGGTTGAATAATGTGTGTTTGATTGGAGTTTTAATTTGTTTTGACTGTTGAGTTAAAATATACTTGGCTAGTATTTTAAACTCCCTCATTGTGTGGATAAAATCAAAGTTATATATATATATAATATATATATATTATTCAGCTTAATTGAGTTGCATATTAAATCAACAGTATGGAAAATAAGTAATTTAAACTACAAATTAATGCCTCAAGTCAAAGTAAAAAGAAATAAAAAACTGCGAAGAGGTAATATTTAATTTATTGAAAATATAATTATGTATTAAATTAGTTGGTAATATTAAATTCTGAAATTATAAATTTAGCATTAACCCATTGATATTTATGTTAATTCAAAGGGAAAAAAAATTGAATACCTCTTGCATGATGAACTATTATATGGGCGCTATCATGGGCAGGGACAGATCCATGGGAGGCAGGAGGGAGTGCTTCCCCATGTTACAAATCTTTTTTTTCTTTTAAAGGTGCTATTTTTTGTCTGTAAAAAGATGTTAATTGTCATTTTGGCTACCGAACTTTCATGTAGACTTTCATTTTGCCCCCCATAATGAGTTTCTAGATTTGTCATGGATATCTCATTAGGCTCTAACTTTATGCAAGTAAACAATATTGTCTACAACAAACTTATGGGTTAGGGTTACAGTTTGAGTTAGGGTTCTTTTGTGTGGGCTTGTTTATTTGGGCCTGTTTTGTGGATTTTGTTTACCTTTGTTGCTTTGTCCTCTTATGTTTACCTGATTTTGTCTTCTCCGATCACAAAAAAAAAAAAAAAAAATCAAGAGGTAGCAATATTCTGCACAACATCAACTCGTGATGGCCATTGCCAAATAAATATGGTAAAGCAAAAGAAAATATTAAAAAAAAAATTAGGAGAAGAAACAAAACAAAGCTGCATCATAGAATTGAGGAGATCATGATTTACAAAGTTTTTTTATTTTTTATTTTTTTTCACATACATGGGGAAAGCAGGTCAGAGGAGACTTAAAGATGTAGGCACCCACATTTACATGACAATCTTGATCAAAGTATAAAATTAAAGATGATCAATTTATTACAGCCCAATGACAGTGTACAAATACAATCCAGAAAAAATGGATTGGAGTATCACTCCCAAACCTTGACTTCTTTTACTCTTGTCTCCATAGTACAATAAATGATCAATTATGCCTTGTTTCAGTCTCTATAAAGCTCTCTTGAAATTATTAATCTCTTTAAAAGATTAAAAACTCAACTTGTAGGAGAAAAAATTAGAAATGTCACACATGAAATTCATCCAGAGAAATTATCTTGCATTAAACTAATTTTGTCATTTAGGAGTCCCTAAATACGAGAAATGTTTTATAAAACTTTTTCTGCATTACCAAGCCCAAAATAATAAAAGAAGATTTGCACAGATGTTGACCCTTTTGCAGTTAATTTCTAATTTGAGACCCATAGAGTCAATTCCATTTACCAAGGCCAAAAAACAAAGATCCCTGGTTCTTATGTAGACATGGAACAATTCATGACACAATCTATAGCTAAATACTGATACAAGAGATGCATGTTTGTCCATGAGTGCTATCATGGAGGTGGACGCATATATTACAAACAAAAGAAACACAAGAATGTCTTGTATTTTTAACCTTTAAAGGTATAATTATTACCTTTTTTTTAAAAGTGCCCCTATTTTTTTATCAACAAAAGTATTCTTATTAAATAAATTATTTTATATTTATTTTACGGTGAAACACCCTATTAAACAGGGATAAATATGAAAAGATATGGTTAATTTGAAAATAGATAACTACTTTTTTAGGGGTGAGATTTAGTTAAAAATGCCTTATATTTTTTAAGAGAAGTATTTATTTTAACTTTTCATAACTGAATATTGTCATTTAATTCTACCTTTTTTAAAATTAAGATTTTTTACTTATTAATGTAGTTTATATTTGTAATCTACTTTTTTTTTAAAATGTAATTTCAAGTTTAATATTTTTTTAAAATATCAAATTAGTCACAAAAGTATATATAACAAAACTTATATCTTAGCTAACTTTTGAATCAAATCATTCAAATAAAATTTAATTTGTTAAACTGACTTTTTTTTAAAAAAAGTATCCAAATATAAATCATATTGTAGTCATCGACTTTTTTTATAACTTCATTTTACTAACCTTGATAAAGTTCTCACCTCAATTATAAATTTTTTAATCTAAACACACCGTTAGACTTTTCATAAATTGATGTTATGCTATAATCTAAAGTTTGTACGAATGCTTTTAGTATAACAAACCTGCATAATGCACCCTCTTTTAGTAAAACTTTGAAGAAGCAGGAAATGTATATTTGACTTCGATCAAAATTCTCACTGCATAATACTTTAAGTAAAAGCTGGCACTCTGACCAAATCACAAGCTGATGCATAGGGAAAATAAACAGTGGCGTGCAACAATTTATACTGACCAAATCACATTTGTTTTTTCATAGACGAGATATTAAGGTGTATACAAATGGAAAATTTAACATAATTATTTGTTTAGAAAAAAGAAAACTAACTATATTTTTCCAAGAGATATTTTATTATTAATGTTTTGCTAACACATACAAAGTGGGTGCCATGTCATTGATTATCAGTGGAAAAAATACTGATCGATGACTAATATTTAATTTGGTCTATATAAGTAAATATTTGCTTATCAACAAAAAGAAACACACTCCAGATCCCATATTTGTTTTTTATATGCACAATTAGTGCCTGCCTTCAATGAATGTTAGAATATCACCAATAAATTGAAATAACCAAAAGAAATCTCGACTGAATATTCTTCATATATCTACAAAAAGAGAAGAAAATTTTTTACTTTATAAAGAGTAATTGAAATGGATGTACACAATGATAAAATTTCACCTACACTTCACTCCAATCATAATAATAAACTCATAATAATCTCTTCACCTCACTTTGATGAGGTGTATGATCAACATGACCAAGAAAGTAAACAAGAATTATGAGAACAGCTAGAATTGACTATTAAAAAAGAAGAAGAAAAAACTAACTTTACTAATAGCCTGGTCATGTATAGTTCTTCAAGTTAACAAATTTTGTACGAGCTATTCTCACTTACATGGTCAAGCTCCTGCCTTGCTTTTAACCTTTTGGACGCTTCTTCCCATGCTTGTCTTGTTTTTTTAGAATAGGAGCAGTATTTGACTTCATCAAGCTTTTTCTTTTGATGACCCACAGTAAAAAAGTGGCTGAATCGAACTTCCTCTTTTAGTGAGCCACGGTAAATGGGGGGAAAAAGGTCAGTATATCGAACTTTTTTATTGGGAGAATTGCACTGTTGGCCTAGAAAAGATAAAAAATTGCAGTTTGGACTCAAAAAAGTTTGAAAACACACTGCAAGCTTAATGGTCTTTGTTACAATTTTTTTTAGGAGCGAAAGTACAATTTTGCTCTTGTGTAATTTAAAAACTCAAAACCTATGCCAAATCCTCATCCACGAAGCACAATATGATATTCATGAATTCTCAACACAATGTTCATAAATTTCCAACACAATGTCCATGTGTATCCAATTGATATGTAGGTTAATTAAAACATAAGTCATATAGAGTATGTACAACACAATGTATATAGATGCATAATACAATGTTTATAAATTCTCAACACAATTAAAATAGTCATACAAAGCATGTACAACACAATATCTATGGGTGCACGACATAATATTCATGCATTATCAACACAATGTCCATAAGTGTCCAATTGATATATAGGTTAATTAAAACATAAGTTACATATAGCATGTACAACACAATGTACATGGATGTATAATATGATGTTCATGAATTCTCAACACAGTTAAAATAGTCACGCAGAGCATGTACAACACAATGTCTATAGGTTCCCAATATGATGTTCATGTATTTTGAACACAATGTCCATAAGTGTCCAGTTGATTTGTAGGTTAATTAAAATAGTTACGCAGAGCATGTACAACACAATATTAATGGATGCACAACACGATATTCATAGATTCTTAATACAATGTTCGTGAATTCTTAACACAAAGTCCATGCTTGTCCAGTTTATCAATATGTTTAATAAAATATATAAGTTACGTAGACAATGTACAACATAATGTCCATGTATACACAACGCAATGTTGATGAATTCTCAATTGAATATCCATGCATGTCAAGTTGATTGAGGGCAAAATTGTATTTTCACCTCCAAGCAAAATTGCAAGAAGGGCCTTTTGGCTTGCAGTGCATTTTCAAAAATTTTTTGGGCCTACAGTGCAATTCTTTCCCTTTTTAAGGCTTGCAGTGCGATTTTTCCTTTTTTATTTACATGTCAGTAAAACTCCAACTCTATTCAGTCTAGTACACTTTGAGTGAAATGGAAGCAAAAGAGTAATTAAATTGATAAAAGAACATCATAGGCATCTCATAGAAACATCTGTTTAATACTTGCAGTAATGCTGATGATAAATGGTAGCTAACAGAAGTGTAATTAATCTTCTGTAATGTTTATTTTATATTGCAATATTAATTGTAAAAGATTTAAATGCAGATGTTATATGGCAACAGATGAAAGAAAATAGATTGAGGTGAAGTTCAAAATGTGTCTAATTAGAAAGAAAAACTCTAAAGTAACATTGAAATGAGCAAGAGTACAGCTGTATA